CCTACTTCTTTGCTTGCATCAACAGAGCTAGGTTCTCAAACTCTTTTCTACTCAATTAATGTCAAAGAAAGAATTTTGTGCGTGGCAGACAATGCTCCCTCTAAGCTGTGGAGTCTTGTGAGCAAAAATTCTACTTTGTGAGTTACTGGCATTAAAGTTGTGATCAAGCGATTTGGCTACTGTATAAATTAGTTTGTTCTGGAGCCATCCTTCCTGAGCTTAGACAAAAATATGTGAGCCGAAAGCTAAAAAACAGTGTGCTAGCTCACACTAATTCAGCCTTTGCTGACCTGAGCAGTCAACTGAGTGTGGGATGCATAGAAAGGAGGATTTCTATATCCCTATAATCAACAAAAGTGAGACTTTATCCTAAGTCAAGGTACACGTCAGGGGCCTTCCTAACAGACATTAGAAACATGGCACCATAGAACAGACTAGAGCAGGGATATCAAACGTGCAGCCTGTGGGCCAAATCCAGCCCACGCAGGGCTCAGAGCCAGCCCCCAAGCAATTTCCTTCTCCTGCTTCCTTTTCCAGGGCTGCTACTGCACCCGCACCCTAGCTTGCTTTATTCCTAGCTCCCTCAATGGCTCTTTGCTTCCTGTTTCCTGTTTCCTGTTTCCTGCCTCTTGCCTCTCTCTCTCTCTCTCTCTCTCTCTCTCTCTCTCTCTCTCTCTCTCTCTCACACACACACACACACACACACACACACACAGACAGACAGACAGACAGACAGACAGATAGATAGATAGATAGATAGATAGATAGATAGAACTTTGTGGCTGGTGTGTGCTGGAGAGATATAAACACAAGCCTCTCCCCTCACTCCCTCACTCTCTCACACACACTCATTCACACAGAGATAGAGAGACTATGTCCTCTGACTAGCACAATGTACACTGAGGAAATTATTTTGGCTTATTCTGAAAGGGTTTTTTAAAAAAAAGATTGGATTTCTCTGTTTCTATCTGGATTTATTTTTTTTCAAAAAGACCCTGATTAAGAATTAGAACATATGGATTGGTCCTTATATCTTGGAGAGTGGAGTGATTTCAGATGCCAAATGATAATAGCACACATTGGTAATGAAACAAGAAAACTAGGTCTCAGTTCAGTCCAGGAGGATGCATTGTCTTGAGCGTCATTATCAATTGCAATTCAGCAGTCTTTCTTTCTAATCTCCCTTTGAAATTCCTTTGTAAGAACACTGCTACTCAGGTCAGCAACTGAATGTTGTGGTTTCTAATGTCAGACTTATGTCCATTTATTCTTTGCATCCTCCTGGACTGAATCCTCCTGGATGGAACTGAGACCTAGGTTTCCCGTCTCATTACCAACACTGGTATCTCCATGCCTACTACCCCTCTGCATATCACACCTAATCCAATCAAACCTACTATTGTCATTCACCTGCTATTGCCATTCAACATCTGAAATCACCTTTATAGAGTTTTATCTCTTGTACCTCATGTTACATTTTATGGCATGCCCAACAAAGTGACATTTCTATCAGATCTGGCTCTCGTAACAAATCAGTTTGACACCTCTAGACTAGAGTCTAGATTTCAAACATGCCAGGTCCAAACCTTAAGCAGATAACTGTACTGGGTGTTATGCTACAGTTTGCTTATAAGCTTAACCTGTCACTCTGTAGTAACTGAATAATCTAGTTACTGGAGCACCTACACAGTCAGTAAAGATGCTCATTGATTTGAGTGATTGAGTCTATTTTTAAAACATTCCATCAGACTCCAAAAGCTATATATTCAATACTAAGGCATCAGCTAAATGGAAATTTAAAGTTCTTTTGCAGACAGTTAAAAGAACTGTGTTGCTTTGACTCAAGGGGCCTTTTCTCTAACTTGTGTGAACACTCTGGGGTGCAGCATGGAAAGTCCTTGTTCACACAATAGATGTTGCAGCTGAGCACTTTCTGAAATGATGTCTGAGAACCATAAAAACATTATCATTCCGTCTCCCAGGGCTAAGAAACGTCTATGTACATTAGGGCTTCTTTCTTCCTTCTTCCCCCCCATTCACTTCAAAATTGACATAGTTCAGAAATCTTGCTGTATGTCTCAACTCTGGGTTATGTCAGGACAATGTGGTAACCATGACACTGAAATTCTGGTGTATAATAACAATAAAATGGGTCCTCCTACAGTAGTTGCAACAACAAGTAGCAGAATCAAGAAAACATCTTCAGATGGCAGATAAATTATGGGTGTACATATAGTGGAAGGAGTGGCAGATACTGAGATAACAGTTCAGCTTTCTGTCTCCAACTCACTCCATAAAACCCCAAGGCCATAAGTGAGGAGCAGCATCTACCTCTGTGCTTTGCAGTGTCTGTGCCTCGAGAAGGGTTATTCTTCCTCAGCCCCTCCATCACATCTTGGATCCGCCAGATCTCCTTTTGGATTTGTCGATTGAGCATTTCATTCTGAAAAGTCCAAAGCACCAGAAATTATAGCAGCTCCACGTTTTTAAGGAAAGAAGCTGCTATCTGCTTTTGCTCCTGTGTTAAGCTTCCCCCATGTTTACACCTTGACACGATGCCCAGAGAAAAGTAGTTCAACAAAGAAGAGAAGAGAAAAAACAGAGAAAACAGGGATCTTTGAAGGAAGAAAAGGGGGAGAACTGAAATATGAGGTAGGGTGCAGTGAGAACTGTAGGCAAGAAAAAAGAAAAAGAGAATAAGAGATAAATGATAAACTTGGGGCAGCAGAGAGAAGAGGGGAATAGAATGGGAAGCAAAACATTTTAGTATGCAGAGATTTGTTGTGATTCAGAGAAAAGAGTGCAAAAAGAAAGGTGAAATTTCTGAAGATGGGCTAAAAAATGTAACAAAAACAATTTCCCATTAATAATGTAGTGATGCAGCCCTCTTAAACTCATAAAGGTGTAAAAGAGGCCCTTAGAATGACTTGAGTTATGCATTCCTAACCTAATCCTTGAGTGGTCTTTCTTTACTCTAGATTTAACCCATGGTCTCCAAAGACATTGTGCCGTTTAACTTTGAGCAGTTACCAGGGAAACTGATCAGCAGCAGTTTGGAGTAGTGGTTTGGTGTGCGGACTCTAATCTCGCAGAACCGGGTTTGATTCCCCACTTCTCCACTTGCACCTGCTGATGTGACCTTGGTAGGGTTGCCAAGTCTATCTTCACTGGGAGCGGGGGGCTCCCGGCCGGCGTCTTGTGCGAGTGTGCGCGCGCCGCACACACATCACCTGGAAGTGACGGGAGGACACCAGGCACGCTGAGGGCGGGGCCACGGCCATACAAGGGAAAACTCTATGGTTTTCCCTTGTATGGCCGTGGCCCTGCCCTCAGCATGCCTGGCGTGCCCGCATCACTTCCGGGTGATGCGCACGTCGGAGTGGAGTTCCCCCTGGGGCCTGATCCGGCGGCGCCGGGGAACGGGCCTCTGGGGCAGGGGTTTCCCCGCCCCCTGGGGGGACTTGGGATCCCTAGACCTTGGGTCAGTTACAAGCTCTGGCACACCTGTTCCTGAAAGAGCAGTTTGCGTCAGAGTTCTCTCAGCCCCACCCACCTCACAGGGTGTCTGTTGTGGGGAGGGGAAGGGAAAGGAGTTTGTAAGCTGCTCTGAGACTCCAAGTAAAGGACGGGGTATAAATCCAATCTCTTCTTCTTCTCTCAGTGAAGCAGCTGAAGCAGTTTTAAATGCTTCTTGCAAGTATCTGTGGCTGTGGGAGTCTCTGGGTGCAGGACCGCAAAGAGAAATGTTATGTGTCAATCTGACAGGTTCTGCTGTGGTCCCTAAAATCACAGCAATGCTTTTTGGAGCAGCTGCTGCCACAACAGAATATATCCATATAGCCCTGGTTCACTGCCTCTGCTCACACATTACATTTCTCCAGGCAACCTCTTACTCAGGAAGGGAAGAACAGAAAAAAACAGCCAGCTGGCATGCACATATCAGCCCAAAGAGCTTTAGAAATGAGGGACTAGATCCAGGAGAACAATGCATTTTATTTAGAAAATAGGTTAAAAAAACACCAGGAATGTTGCTTAGCAGCCCAAGAATATAAGTTACATATTACATGAAGCCTTTGTAGCTCTTTGAATGCAAAAACTGATTTTTGAAAAACAAAACAGATTTCTGACTCACACGGTGGAGATGACTTGCAATCGTGTAGGCAGTGTGTGCAAGATGCACACATATTAAGGGGACAGGAATATGTCCTGGAAAACTACTTTATCCCTCCCTCGAGGTGTCCAGCTTATTATTAATGGCCTTCACTCACCTATATTTCTCTTCCTACCACATTACTATTTCTACCCCAGTATATCAAATCCTATAAAATTAACTCAGAGCAAAGCATGCAACATGACATATTTATGCAAAAATATGCTAATTTGTATAAACTGCTGCTGACTTGCATGACATAGCGAGTGCAGAATTTGATCCCCCCCCTTTTTAGCATGGAGTTTAAACAGTCCTGCATATAATCCACAGGACAGGATAAACAAACAGGCAAGTGTCTTTGGTGTTCTACTTTTCAAGAGACTTGTATTCAGATCTAGATGTTCTGCTGCATCTCACTACATTTGGGAGGTATTCTTCTTGTAAGACTTTCAGTTGTGACCCTGGTTTTTTTGAGCGTTCAGTGCAGGAAATCAAGATTGAAATTAGAAATGTGTGTGGAGAGCCAGTGTTCCGTAGTGGGTAGAGTGTTGGACTAGGAGCTGGGGAACCTGGGGTCACATTCTCACTCTGCCATGGACACTTGTTGGGTGATCTTGGGCCAGTCACACACAATGTTCCCTCTAAGCTGAGTTAGGGTGAGCTAGCTCATAGTTCTTTAGCCTCTGGCTCACACATTTTTGTCCTAACTCAGGAAAGATGGCTCCAAAGGAGACTGATTTATGCGGCAGCCAAACCGCTCGCTCACAACTTGAATGCCAGTAGCTCACAAAGTAGCATTTTTGCTCACAAGACTCCACAGCTTAGAGGGAACATTGGTCACACACCTCTCAGCCAAACCTCCCTCACAGAGTTGTAGTGAGGACAGAATGGAGGAAAGGAGAAAGAGAAACTGCTTTAGGTCCCCACTGGGGAGAAAGGTGGGGTATAAATGAAGTAAATAAAATTAATAGACAAACCAGGAGTGAAATCATTACAATGGGAGTTAGGATACATACAAGCACAGCCTTATCATCATTTAACGCAAGTGACCAGACTGAGCCCATCATCTTTCCTGATAAAGCACAAACACAGCCTGCTCTTTCTACCATTACAATCAGTTAGTTCCATCAGCAGCTAGAAAGGCTCCTGCCCTCCATTTGGTGGAGTCACTCAGGCATCCTGAACTGATTGTTTATACCAGTTAGGAACAGATGCTGGATATTCTCCAGCAGTGGAAGATTTCAGATGCTGCCACAGTGCAAGCAGAAGTAGCATATCTTGAGATCAACCCTTTTTTCCATGCCAAGATTTCTGTCCGCAGCTCTGCCAGAATAACCATCCTTAAACAGAACTCAAATCGCCATGCAATTGTTATCCAAACAATGGATCTTTCCCAATGAAGAGTAATCTCTTTTGTAATACTCCTAGATAAGAGCAGTTGCCTGCTGAATATAGCAGTGGTACAGCAAGGATGGAAGGTGTAGAACTCCATTGGGCATGCATAAAAAGCTGATTGCACTATGCTGTACTGTTACTGTACTGCTGAAAAGCCATGAATGGGTTAGCAAACAGATGAAAAGTTCATCAAAAATTGTTTGTCTGATCATGACTGGTGAACAGGTTCTGAGCTGAAGTGGTGGATGTTCCAGCACCCCTAGGCCTAACTAAATCAGATGCCAGGAGACCTGTGATCAAATATTCCCAGTGTTGTATTTTTTAAATAGAAATAATAGTGACACAGAACTGCAATTTAGATTTGGGCTGTGAGCAAGGGAGAAGAGTTTTTCTGCTGCAGGTAGTTCTGTCAGTTGAAACTGACCTCCTTACACTGTGGATAGAATGTCAAACTAGAATCTGGGACACTCAGGTTCGAATTCCCACTAAGCCACAGAAGCTTGTTGGGTATCCTTGGACCAGCCTCTCTCTCTCTCTTGGTCTTAGCCTAGCCTCCCTCACAGGGTTGTTGTGAGGATAAAATGGAGCAGAGGAGAATGGTGTAAGCTGCTTTGGGTCCCCACTGGGGAGAAAGGCAGGGTAGAAATGAAGTAAACATGTAAATAAATAAATGCACAATCACATGCTTTTATTGGCGTTGGAAAGAAAAGTACAGGCTGCCCATTTTCTTTCCTTCCATAGCCAGTAACAGTGTGTGTGTGTGTGTGTGTGTGTGTGTGTGTGTGTGTGGAAGGGGGGCTCAATTGGCAAAACCATAAAGGAATAGAAGAATTAAGCACCCTCCCCCTCACATAATTGCCATCTGAAATCAGGGCTCTGGACAGCTGCTGTTTTGAAAACCACTGGGAAGATCCAGTCATGGATCTCCTAGCTTCTCATTTATTTAGACCCTACAGCTGCAATTATAAGCACATTTAGAATAAATAGTGAAATTAAAGGAAACGCAAGGTAAACAGTGTGCTTAAGATGGAGTTATAAATATATTCCATTGGTCAGCAGAGCATGTGGTACATTCCTCATGTGACTGTTCTATTTCAGATACATATGCTGGTGAGGGGGAGTGCTTGAACGAAAGCACAGCTATGTCAAAATCTTCAAGTATATGCAAAGGTAGCACAGTAGGGAGAACCTTTCTGCCTCTCTGAAGTGCTAGCCTTGCATGTGAGGGCTACTTCGAACAGCTCCTCTTATGCATTCCTAATGTGGTGCAGCCTGTACTGTGTGCCCTACTTAGTGCTTGAACTGGCTTTAAGAGTTAATTCAGAGAGTGGCATCTCCCACTCCTGGTTCAGTGGGGAGCACAGGTTCACTTTGCCTGGGATACTCTTGCACAGTGAGTACAAAAAATAAAAATAAAAATCAGCAATGCAGACCACAAGCCCTGCAACAGGGACCAGTAGGTAGGGAAGGTTGTTGTAACCTTAGAACCCTCTGCTGATCAACAGAATTGAAAAAACAAAACACAGAGGGCTGTTTAGACAAGCCCTGAGGACCAAAGGAGCCCCCTCCCCTGACCCAACTCCAGTTGACAATGTGTGTGTGTGTGGGTGGGTGGGTGTGGGGAGACAACATGAAGGAAAGAGCCAATTGCTTCTGCCTAATTTAACTTAGCAAATAAATAGTAAGAGCAGAAGTTTTCTTTTCACACTAAATACACACACAAAAGAGTCTCACAGAAGCCCGAGAGTCACTTGAATGCGTGGAGTCTGGAGACATAAACCAACCTCAGAGCAGCTAAGGAAAACAATGGCTTCATTCACTGAGACAGCAAGAAGGTCAAGTGTCATTTACACAGGAAGGAAAGCAAGGATTAGACATCGTTATTCTGTCTGGTGTCAATGATACATGACAGGACACAGATAGCCTGTCCAGGAGGGCCAAACTCTGTTTAATTCTGACTGGGATGTCTTCTCCATCTCACAATCTGCCTTTGCAGCAAGGCACCAGAGGCAGTCACTGGTAAAAAAAGGCTGGAAGTTGAACTGAACGATGTCTGCAAAATGTTTGCAATGTTTCCAAGGCTAGTAAAACATCACTTTAGCCATTTGCATCTGATACATGATGAGTAGCCTGCTCTCCAACACTAGCCTTTTTCACTGGACTTACCTCCAAACCAGAGAGGTTAGCAACAATAAGGATCATAGTGGAATTTTTAAAAAAGATGTTACAACCCACAGTGTGACTGTAGAATTTCTCTGGCTGTTTTAAAATACAGGTTATTTCAGCCAGAGGGGGGAAAGGGGGGTTCATAAGTGCCTAGCAGAGTTTGGGTTAAGCAGAGTGGGATTTATTCTGTGATAGGACAGAAAGCAAAGAAGGGAAGAAAGCTGTATACAGAATCTAGTGGGGGGGGGCAGGTGGGAAATTTGAGGCTATTAATACTGTATAAAAAATTATCAGCCGTCCAACAGCCTAAAAGTATCAAGGCTGAACTCAGTTATGTGGCATACAGAAGTAGACATCAGGAGGAGTAACCACTCCCAAAGCTAATGCGGGGCTTCTGTATTAATAGTGGCTGTAAAACAGAGCAGCTCAGGCTTGTTGCCTTTCTCCTTGTGCATTCCTACCTGTTATTTATACAAGTAATTAAGTGAGGGGTTGCCGTTAGACATGCAAGTGACCAACTCTGCATACAACTGTCATCTGCATGCATAACAAGTGCAAGTGGCCATGGGAGCATTCCCCAAAATTGAATGTTCACATGCACGTTCTCTGAAATCAGGCTCTGACATTTTTTGTGAATCCATAAAAACTAATACAACCCAGTGATTAGAATTTATATAACATAAGGTTTATAAGCAGTGGCTTAATTTTACACCAGGGGAACTACATTGGGTGCAGATGGTCTTATTTTCTGTCAACAAACAGAGAAGAATAGTGGAATAGAATGTTCCCATCAAAGAGTCCAGAATCCTTTGTCCTCCCCGTGTGTATGTTAAGTTCTGTGTGGGATTCTCTAAAATTCCCTTCAGACTTTGCTAATTTGAAGGCTCCATTCTCTCACCTGGATGTCCAAGTTCAGCTGTTCCCACAGGTCATCATGCAAGGCTGACACCTCACCCTCCAGGTTCTCATATTCTATGGTGCTGTTGGCCAATGCCTGTGGGGATTTGCAAACAGTCCCATCAAGATACCCGCATACTCACAAACTCCTACACTGAGTGTCCCTGGAGTGCAGCAGAACTAATATAAAACAATCAATCTATAAATCGTCCATTTGGCAGTGGGTAAAACCTTGTCAGAAATGAGATCTATGTTGTCTCCCAATCAATGTACTTGGGAACACAAGGAAAAATCCTCTAATGCTCCCTTTGTCCTTACTGCACACTGGAGACATGCTTAGTTCAAACTGGCATGAAATCTGTGTGTCTAGGAAAACTAATGGAGAAGTAACAGAAATAGGAAATCATTCAAAGTGAAATAAGCAAGACATTTCATCCAGTTCTTTTAATGTGCTGTTGAACACAGCAAATTCATGTCATGCACTCATGAAGCCAAGAAGTTTACTTTGGGTGCACTGCTTTAGCACTTTCCCATGGAAGGGAGTTTCCTTTTCTCTCACTCTTACATAGAAGCAAAAGAAAGAAGAGATTTGACAATGCTGAACCAGCAAACATGCCTCTCTTCCAGTCTTCCACACCAACTCTTCCTTGGCACATGCAGTGCCCATCCTGGCAAAGCAGGCAACCCATGCAGGCTCAGATGGAAGTGTGAAGCTCCAGTGGTGTAGCTCATGCTGTTGCAGAAGCACTAAATACAGTGCAGCAAATCCCATGCACAGCCCAAAGGGAGGCCCATGCTTGCACTATTCTGTCATGGCTTCAGAGGCTAAGCTGTGCTCTCTATTCCCTTTAAAAAACCTGCTTATTGGACAAAGCTAAGCATGGTAATGGGTGACTGGATGGATCAGATCTACATAGGTCACAGAAGCCAAGTGTGCCTACATGTCCTTTCCCCACTCTCCCAGCAATGGTCTTTGATCCCTGTTGGTTTCTGGGTCTTTGTGAGAGAAAGCAGGTAGGGATGTCTTAGATACAGGTAGCTTTTTGATTACCGTGCTGGCTTGGGACAGCTCCACTCGGATATTGATCAGCTGGTTCTGGAGGGATTCCTTCTTGTGCAACAGCTTTTCAGGGTAGGCTGGTTGGCTCCCAAACATTTCTAGCTCCTGGTGTGTTCCCATTAGTGCGCTCTCTAGACTCTCCTAAACCATAAGAATAGGAGACAATTTCTTAAGATGCTGGCTCAGAAGGTAACCCAGGACTCAAAAGTCTTAGATGCAGTTCTGTGCTCTAGTTCATATTCCTCTTCTAACTTTAGGCATTCTATTATTCTGAGTCTCAATCCCCATGCCTTTAAAATGTGGGGATTATCTCTTTCCCTGTCTCGCTCAAAGGAAAGTAGGGTAAAGTCTCTGAATTTTTAAATATACGACAGGGCTGAAGGATGACAGTGAGCAGACAGAACTGAATTTATATCTCCACCCAGAAATACAATGCAATCTTCAGCTACAGCAACTAGAAATGTTTGTAGAGAAGCAGTATAGCACTGAACTGAGAGATCACCCTGAGATTTGAAAGCCCTACTCTCACTACCTGTACGGAAGAACCCATTTTAGCCTCTCTGCTTCCAGGAAATATTTGCCTTGAAGATGACAACCTCATTACGAAGGCCATTGCTAAGCAAAAGCATTTTTCAGCCATGTAATGAGTTTCTATATCAGAAGGAGTCAAGGAATCTGGGCTCATTCAGGGTAGCAGAAAGCATCTTGTACATCTTGTTAGTCTGTCCTGTGATTTCTGTCCCTTACCTTCTCTGCACGAAGTTGCTGCACCAGCCTCTCCTGTTCCCTCATCACTTTGTTTTGCTCGCAGAGCTTTCCCAGGAGCTTCTGCCATGGAATAAGAAGAGATAAAAGATGAGCTGCCTGGCACAGAGGACCCACCGTAAGATAGTATTCATCTGATTTGATGGTTGTCAACCAAGCCTCCAGCCAGAGTGCTGCCCTTGGCTTCAGGCATTCCACAATCAGACTAGCAGGGCGGGGTGGCAGACTCACAAACAACGACACCAGCATGAGACACACAGATTTGAGTACGAGGGAAGGATGCGACAGGAAAGGCAGCACAGGACTGGTGATCAGTGGTGTGACCAAGGGACCCTGCAGATCCACTAGGAGAAAAGATGCTCGTCTAATGATAGTAAGAGAAATGGAAAAAGGCATAACCTCCAAGGAAAAGAGGATGGGCAGGTGGCGGCAGGAGGGGAGATGGAGTGGGCAGGCGGGCAACAGCGAGGGAGAGGTGTTCTTACGTCTGTATCTTGCTCGCTTATCTTGTAGGTGTGCAGCGTCTCTCTATAAGCTTCAGGGAAGTGAGACACCTGCAAAAACAGGAACAAGTCACTGCTGCTCTCTCTTGAAATTAACATGTCATGACAAACGCCTGGGGAAATCTGCTGTGTAAAAAAAAGTTCAGATCCTACAACCCAGCCTCTTAATGTCTTCTATCAAGTCTTTCTCTTAAGCAACATTTGCAAGATGGGATCACTGAAGGGAAAGACAGACATGGCCTTGCAACTGTGTCACAATCCTACTCCATCGTTCCCATGGATCCATCCAGCCCAAGCAGACCACTGGCTGTCTTTTAAAATCAGCTATCTTGTATCTTATCAAGAGGAGAGGCCGCTCTGCTCCTTTGCTATCTGCATAAAAGGGAGCAGTCAAGCTGATAAGAAATATTTTTTTTAAAAAAAAGGACAACTGCTTAGTTTTATGAACAAATCAGTACATACGTATTAGACATGCAACTGTCGTTACAGCTTGACAGGCAATTATACAACCCAATGGTACTGTAAATAGCCGCTCAAATTCACAATCACAGCAAAAGCAATTGTGAGTAGATTTAAAGATGTTTCCCCACAAATTCAGGCTGATGCACCGTGAGGTAGAGGCCTTACCACATGATAGTCACTAGGGTGCAAAAGGGCTATACCATGTAACTTGTTATCATACACAATTAATCGATATACAAAGTTAATATCATGGAGCACACAAGACCAAGAGGAACTCCTGCTGGGCTTTGTAGGTCTAATATAGCAGTGGCTATTATGCATATGCAGTGCAGTCCCAGGCACATCTCTTTTCATGCCAAACAAGAACAAAATATCCAGGATGGCACTATAAGAGGGTGGCTGATGATGCACAAGTAGTCAGAATCAAGAGGTCAGGACAGGATGAAGGCCGGCCTAGTGAAAAGGAACAGATATCATTTTCAGCAAAAGACACTGCACTGAACCCCAAAGAGGAAGGCCTTCTGAGGCTGCAAAACCAGCCCTCCACATGCTATTCCCAGTTGATTGGCTCAGCTGAATTCCCAAGTTGCCCAAGAAGCACAGGCTGATACTTCACAAGACACAGCCGTGTTGTGGTTAGATTTGAGGTTCTTCACACAATGTCCAGCACCCCAGCTTAACAGCAACCACCACCATTTTACACACAGGAAAACTAATGCAGAGAAAAAGCCGGGACTAAAGGTAACTCAAGTCTGGTACTCATCCGCATTGGCTTTTGCTGTGAATTGTTAAAACTAAAACTGACCATTGCATAATTTCCCTCCAGAACTGGGATGCTGCCGTACTTACCCAGAAGGGGTATACGAGTATCACAGGAGAGCCCTGATTAACATGGATGTGATGCAGCACAGAAGAGAGGCACCACATCAGAACCATTTATTGTTACAAAGCAAACCACTACTGTATGATAACACAATAGGAGAAAATAAGTTCTTAATTTCTTGCATGAACTAACGAAGGGCACCTTGCTAATGTGAGAACACTAATATGGGAGGAATCTCATCGTGAAAATGAAGTGCCATACTCCAGATACCGTATTTTCCGGCGTATAAGATGACTGGGCGTATAAGACGACCCCCAACTTTTCCAGTTAAAATATAGAGTTTGGGATATACTTGCCCAGAGACTGTATTTACCGGCGTATAAGACGACCCCCCCCCCATTTCTGAGAAGATTTCCCTGGGTTAAAAAGTAGGATTATACACCAGAAAATACAGTAAGTATTAGCTATAACATTACCCCTGTTCCTATCATCAAACACACATAAGCTAAATGAACAGAAGGTAGGAAGCAGGACTGTACTTGCTGGTCCCATCCCCCAACCTCCGCGTGTTCATTTGAATAGAGTCATATGCATGTAGGTCCTTCAATGGAATCAGGAATTACGAAAAAGCAGGATTCTGATAATATGCTTGTATGCACGTGGGTCTCTGTTCATTACTTTAGTTAAGCCCTCAGCTAGGTGATTTGTTTGACACAAGTCAGGTTGGGAATCCCCCAACCTGACTCGTAGTCACATACAACACTGAGGAACTAAAGTTCTGAAGCACTCCAAGGCTCAGTTTGGCTTGGGAGCACACAGGTGGAGGAAGGGCTTCCGGCTTCCCTCCTGCAGCATTTTCCATGAATCCCTACGGCTAGCATTTCAAAGGCACACCCAGAAGTAATGTCACAGCATCTGCAACATTGTAGGCATTCTCCCAGTCTCTATGGTTACCATAGAGACTGGGGGAATTCCTGAAGTGTTGTGGACATTATCACGTCACTTCCAGTTACTTACCCAGATGTAAAATTATGGTGTTCTTTTTCTCTTCCTTTTGCTCCACCAATCCAGTGCAAGGGATGAAGCGTGGGAGCAGGGGGTTGCCTTGCACAGAAAGGAACCTGGTAAGTCTAACCAACAGCTGAAACCCACTGCCCCCCTGCACTGTGCTCCTCAGTTGAAATGGCCTTGGGGGGCATTTGAGATTGTGCTCCTGAGCTCTTGGGACTGTGCTCCTGAGCTGAACCAGCCTTGGAGCACGATTTCCAAGTGTTCCAAGGCAGGTTCAGCTCAGGAGCAAAGTGCAGGGGGATGATGGGCTTCAGCTGTTTGTTCCACTGTGGTTAGGCTTACCAGGTTCCCTCCTGCTCCTGGGGTGTGTATTTGGATCTACCCAAGCCAGAAATATCCCCCCAAAATACCTTATCAGTATTTTTCGGGTATATGTTGGCATCCCAAAGGTATCTGGAATTTTTCAGGAAAACCCAGCGGGGGGGGGGGGGAAATCCCCCCCCCAAATCCCCCCCCCAAAATCCCAGATATATTTGGGAATTACCTGGAAGATCAGCAAAGCCCCCAAAACAGCTGAGCGGCTGGAGGAGACTGCCCCTGTCACTCAGCTGTTTTTCAGGCTCTCTTGTGCAGTCCCTTTAAACAGGGTGTGTTTAAAGGGACTGCAGAAGACAGCCCGAAAAACAGCTGAGCTGGTGGGGAACAGTCTCCCTGCTGGCTTAACTCGCGCTCTCTTGTGCAGTCCCATTTAAAGGGACTGCAGAAGACAGCCCGAAAAACAGCTGAGCTGGTGGGGAACAGTCTCCCTGCTGGCTTAACTCGCGCTCTCTTGTGCAGTCCCATTTAAAGGGACTGCACAAGAGAGTCCAAGACAGCTGAGCTGGCAGCCCCTTTAAATGTACCCTGTTTAATGGGGCTGCAGAAGATAGCCTGAGAAACAGCTGACCAGCAGGAGACTTAGCTGTTTTTTTGCTCCCCCCCTTTTTTTCTTCTCAAATTTATTGGACCTGAAAAAAATCAGGATATCCAAATACTTTACTGGTATTGGGATCTGGGATTTTTCAGGAATCCCAATAATATTTTGGGTCCAATAGACCCAAACTGAAAAATACCAAGAAAATTTTTTGCAGAGCTTTACTTGGGAATGTTAGTTAAATTAGAAAGAAATGCATACATTTAATGTCAGCACCAGATACTGTTAAGTCTGTCTACTTGGATATAAATATTTGCAGGAGTAATACCTACCCTGCATCAAGCACCAGTGTGAAACTGAGTGAGCATATTGTCTCAAATATTGGAAATTTCCCTTTGCTGAGAACAAGAAACCTACTTGTGCAACTAGATAAGATCTGTGTCTGTGACACTTCTGGTATTTAATCCAGAGATGATGCAACACAGTACTATGCATAAAGCCACAGCTGGAGATATTCCATAGATACACTGAAATTTGTTGTCTCATTTGAAGAATGCCATGGTGACTCTACTCCAAACCTAGGCAAAGGTCACTTCTAACCAGCAATTATGAGCAGTTATATTCTGACTTGGTAAAATACAGAGTTACAAGTTGCAAGACAATTTTTGACGTGATAAAGGTGACAAAACTATGACTTTAGAAACATAAATGGATGGTGGTAGGCTGGCTGTAATCACAATGAAAAGCAGCTTTTGATGAAGATGCCATTGGATGTACTACTTAATTTATAAAATACATAGTGCCAATTCTGACAGGAAGATGAAATTCTTGTATGGTTAATCCTCGACCCCTAAACCTACATGGCAGGTGGTGGTTACAATGACTCAACGGCTCAGGAAAGGCCCTCTCCACATGCTCAAAGGCATTCTTTTCCCTTGCCAGGATGGATATGAAGACACAAGGAAGTCACACTTAATGCATGACATACTCTGGTTTCAAGGCTCAAGATTAATTTTTGAATAAGATTCCAGGGTTCCATACTGGTGAGCCTTGGGTGAAATTAAGCATTGACATTCTCTTGTTCCATCTGCGCAAGTGAGCTATCACCCATACCTAGTTAGAGGAGATGTTCTCTAGGCAGACACTAGATTTCCAATTAACTGGTCATCTAGGATAGCTGACAGTAGAGGCTGTGAGACCCATCTCCTTTAGCAAGAGATGCCAGTGCAAAAGCCATAGGATCCCACTTCACACCTTCCAGTGCTAAGCACTGCCAATAGAAAAAACAACGAGGAAAAGAATGTTGTCAGCTACCCAGCTTCACCAAGAGAAAGAATTTTGCCTCTTTTCCTAGGGCAAGGCATATGTACATTGGTGAAAGCTTTGGCCTTTTCACTCAGGTCTTCAAAAAATATGTGAAAGGACTCCATGGCATCCTAAGCGGATCTGCTCACTGCAGCCTACCGCCAGGAACTGTTCTTAGCACTGCACCAGATTGGGGGGGGGGAGTATCTGGCACCAGGAAGCACAGAGTTGTTGATATAGCTGAAAATCAGCATATTTTCCAATCCTCCAGCAGTCTCCATCCTATAGTATGTGCATATGGGGATTTCAAGGAGTTCTGCAATAGAACCACTAGTTGACAAGGGCATAGGTGCCTTATAAGACTTCAAATGGCTCTGGTACTATAGGATGAGATGTTGAATGGGCATCTCACAAATGAATACAGACATAAGGGTGATACTGGGAATGGTTCTGCCATGCAAAAGCAGCTGGAATGGCATGGTGGATGGCAGAGCTGCTGTGATCTCTTACTTGCATGTACAGCTGAGCCCTAGGGGA